TCATTAAATCATGTGCAAGTCCTGTTTTTTTTACTAACCTACCGTGCACGTGATTAACTGAATGTAGCTTTACCATATTCACTAAGCTGGGTATACACGGTTATATTTTCTTCATATAACCTGTGGGCTGAACAAAGAAAATATGACAGATTCCTCCATCAGAACTGGATGACCGAATCTCCTGTTGTTTTGCATTATATTATGACAGTGGCTAGCAGCTGCTGTCAGAATACCCGAACAGATCTTGCAGCTAATTGGCTGCAAGCTATGTTTGGCCGAAGGTTTCCCAACCAGCTCCTTCAATCAGCTGATTGAGGGATAACGGAGGGAAGGGTGCCAACAGGGGCACCCACTGTGCGAATTTCGGCTGGTTCCTCAAGAACTGGCTGAAATTTGCCGGATATAGTGAATGTTCTACATCTTTAGTAAATTAACCCCATATTTTTGTGTATGGTAAAATGTGTGCCAGATCATTGTGGTTGGGAGACTGAATGGGAAAAATCTGATTGGTTGCTGAAGGGCAACACAAATTGTTGAAACGCTTTAGTAAATTTGGCCAGTAGATTTTCTATCTGATAAGCTGCTGATTACAAAATGGCTACCCCTTAGAGCACATTTCTACTTGTTGTAGAATACAGGAGGTCATTCTTGTTTGTAAGAATCAGAACACCTTCAACCCAGAGAAAAGATTTATAATAACCTATCCCAGCAACATCTCCATTTCATAAAATCTTGTTGCAAGACAATTATTAACCTGTGTTGTATTATAATAATACACCAAATCTGCCATGAGCAACATATAAGATATTAAAGGAAAAGTGGACCGCAGGCTGGATGAAATTGAACACATATTTCCATGTCTGACTTCCTACCATTTTGCACGCTTCTATTGATTTTTTCTGACACGCTCTTTTTATATTGAAGAACGTGCTTTTATTTTCTTCCTTCTGCAAGAACCCGCAAGGAGAAACAGTAACAAAAAAAAAAGAAAGCCAAAGTAATTTTAAACCTGCCCGAAGTAAAAATGTAATGTAACACCTGTACTCAACAATTTCTCGTTGTAAATATAGATATACTTCTATTTAATAATACACAGCCTCTCATGGGTGTTTGAACTCCATAGTTTCAGAAAGATAGTGATTAACTTGTCTCTTACGTGGATTTTTCTGCGTTCTGTATTACAAAGCAATTGAAACAAAGTTTACTCATGTTGTCAAAGGCAGTGTTTGAATTATAAAGAAATGTTCTAAAGTTACATGTTTGACTCCATGCTGTGAGTTATTTATATACAGCATAGTGAAAAAAATACCAGGCAGATTGGCATGTGCAAGGGGTACAGTCCTATTTCCAATCAATACCTACCCAGAATAGAAAAGCTAGATGATGACCATGTATTGCAATCATATTATGATTCCCCAACAGCTAGGTTTGGCTATCTGCATGTATAGCTAAATATAAGAAAGTTTGGATAGAACAATCTAATCTCCAGCAGGCCCATAGAATTCAAATGTGATAGTAAATGTCATTTTGAAATTGCATTAAGTCTTCGTTGTGAAGAACAGTTAAGACCCCGATAAATGGGATTAGGGTCAAGGGTCTTACCAAGGCACAAAGGAACTAATTTAAAGACCAATCCAGGGAGTTGCAGACCTCTCAAGTTCGCCTACATTTTAATTTTATTTTTATGCTTATTTAAACTCTTTGGTGAACATGAGAGATCCGCTATAAGATGGTCATACATAAGGACATCTGGCTACTTGTTTTGCTGTAATCAGACCCCTTGGAGTATTCATTTGTCACACTGTATATGTATTTACTGCTTAGAGCCTGGTAGTGAGCTCCCTACTGGTTATTAATCCTTAGCATTAAATGTACCAGCATTGTTTATATATAATATATAATTCTTATCCATTTTATAAAAAAAGGTCTCATTAATAGAAATATTTCACTAGAACTCTGCGGTATGTTGATTTACAATCAGAGATATCTAAGATGTTCAAGACAAATGAGACAGATGTTTCCATGCACCAGCCAATTAGATGTTTACTTTTATTTTGTAACTACTAAAATAACAGTCACAGAATGTATTTTGTTGCTATAAGTAGCCATCCATAAACCTTAGGGCGTATTTTGTTGCTATAAGTAGCCATCCATAAACCTTAGGGCGTATTTTGTTGCTATAAGTAGCCATCCATAAATGTTAGGTGATTGTTGTCTAATATTTCTAGGATAAGGTGACACTTTTTTAATGTCTAAGGGACCACCATAATCAGGAGGGAAGGCCAACTCTGATATGCATTTTTTATAATGGGATGGAAGAGAAGTGCTAAAGATATTTGTTCATCACATAAACTCTCTTAGATAATGTTTACATAATTTACTAACTTCTAACTGCCATTTCATGTTTATAACCAGTTTAATGCCAATTTTTTTCCTTGTGTTCCACTTTCATTAAATTTCCGTCAATGTTAAGCACAAGAGGTTGCTTCTGATTATATATTAGCCAAAACAAGAGCAAAGTAATTATGTGGCTTTAGCTCCATTATCCAGTAAATAGTGATATTTTCTGGTTCCTATTCTTATTGAGGGTGGCATGTTTTACCAGACGACCACCATGACATGTGTCACGGCAGACAAAATCTGTGGGGGGAGTAACCATATATGATTGAAGTCTGGCCAAAACCAAGTACAATTTAGGACTCACAAAACTAAAAGCTTTGCAGACATTGGTTTTGCTGGACACGCACATTCCTGGTCACCTGAACAGCACACATCTCCTCATCCGCCTGAAACAATAAGGAAATTTTTTCAGAAGACTTGTGTCGGTAACCCCTTCAAGCTCCCTATTAATTCCTTGTCTGATAGAAAAATACCACTAAACTAGTGCTTATTATATGTAATCCAGATCACTGGCATAATGATACAGTACATTATATACTTTCCTAAACTCGTTCATTCAATATCTCACTTCCTTCCCTCCAGGCAGTGACCATTATATTTTACACATGGGTCCCAGCTGCTTTCCATTCTTCCCTTCAAAACATATTTAAGCACACAGAGATTGAAGGCGAGACGCTTTATCTAATGTAGTCAACTTTTAGCAAACAAGCCGATACTCTTTCCTACTCACATGTTTTATTAATAGTGGTTGATTATATCAGGGAATGAGTACAAGACTTCACTGGCAAGTAGGTTTTCATGCGCTGTGCTACTCTGGAATGCCTTCGTGATAGACTCCTAAAGAAACAGTAGTTAAGGAACAGAGCAATTAGACTGCATGAGGTGTTTCTATAAAGGGTGCTGTTGTGTGTTGTATGTGCAAAGGAACCATGTAGGTGAATGTATATACCTTTCTATTTAGAAAGAAAGAGAAAGGTTTAGCTGTCTGGGTAAATAAGTACCACATATAATATGTTTCATAGTTGGGGCACACCATGCAATAACTAAAGAGCCCAGGTACCCAGTGATCCTGGTTTATTTCTGATGGCAGTAATTTATATATATATAATGCATGGACCCAGGAATGGAGATTTCTTCCCACCCAGAGCTCTAAGAAATCTCCTGGCTCCAGGATCCCAACCTTGATCCAGAAAACCCAGAAAGAACTGAAAAGGCAGTTCTCTCCTGGTACCAGTAATGTCTTCCTGGAGCCACTCAGCCCCTCTGGCTGAGAACCCTGGGTGACTTTGAGGCCACCTAACACCGTGGTATTGCCTCACAATGCCACTATATATATATATAGATATAGATATATAATGCAAACATTTTTTACTTATTTGTGAAAATAATTGTGAAAGTTACTACCCAACAAAGCAAAGCATAAAGCAAAATAAATAAATATTTTTTTTTTTTTAAATAATCAAATATTTGTATTTAAAACAGAATCAATTATCCCGGTAAAGGATTTTGCAGGTGTATGGTCCAGTGCAGGATTAAACAATTTTACCAAACAGGTGCTAAAGATTAACAAAACTACATGTAGGTTAAAATACAATCATGAAATCAAACATAATCATCTGTTTAAGAGGAATAAAACTGGGTGAGGGAAAGCCACACTTTACTTATAAATGGGTATAACTAAATACAGTTCAGTGTAAAAAATCTTACACAATGGCAAGACTGAGCAAAGCAATAAGACACAGGATGGTCTTACTGCATCAACATGGCCTCTCACAGCCATTTCAGGGAAAACAGGTGTTTCCAGATGTGCTGTCTAAGTTCTTCTGCCGAAGCACAAAAAGCAGGCATCATTGAGGACTGACAACGTAGTGGTAAGTTAAGGAAACAAGGAAAGACACATCGATGAGGGGAATTTATCAAAACTGGAGCAGGCAGAATCTGGAGCAGTTGGTCATGCCAACCAATCAGCATCCACCTTTCATTTTCAAACCATAACTAAACAAACTGAAGAGAGAAACTGATTGGTTGCCATAGGCAACTGCTCTGTATTCTTCTGCTCAAGTTTTGATAAATTCCCCTGATCATATTTTCCTTTGCAATTGGAAAATGTCGAGTGACACCATCAGGTCAGACCCGGCGGAAACCAGTTGGACCCTCATACACCCATCTTCAAGTGATCTTCGTGGAACACTTGTGGCTAATAAGCCATATCTCTGAGATGGAAACAAGGCCAAGGAGCACAACTTTGCATGAAAACACAAAAAAATGGTGTGCAGAAAAATTGCAGCAGGTGCTCTAGATTAATGAGTCCCAATTTGACATATTTGAATGTAACAGAAGGCACTGTGTTTGTTAAAGGCCTGGAGAGTTTGGGTTGAGGAGTTGGGGATTTGGTCATATCAGGCTATTTTATGAAATTGTTTATGAAGAGAAAACAGTCAATGCATGCCAGCCATGCACTCAACACACGAGACCAGGCATCACACAAAAGCATACAGACAGTTTTCTTTCAGAGTTTTCATACATAAGTCCTATTGTTTCTATAACATTGTCTGTTATCATTGATTTAATAAATAAATGAGATATATTTATTCCATCAGGTACTTTTAGGACAACAAGCCCAGCCAGCCAAAGAGACCTCCCCTCCACGAGAAGAAGCACCACCTGTTCCACCATCATCAGAAGACAGCTGCACCAAAAAGCCAAGATCTCGTACCAAAATTTCCCTTGAAGCTCTGGGAATCTTACAGAGCTTCATCCATGATGTGGGTCTCTACCCAGACCAAGAGGCCATCCACACCTTATCTGCTCAGCTGGATCTCCCCAAACACACCATTATCAAGTTTTTTCAGAACCAGCGTTACCATGTCAAACACCACGGCATCCTGAAAGAGCACCTGGGTATAGCAGTAGATGTGGCAGAGTACAAAGATGAGGAGCTCTTGACAGAATCTGAAGAGAACGACAGCGAAGGAAGCATGGAGGAGATGTATAATGTAGAACAGAGTGAAGAAAACAGTGGAAACATTAAGCCCTCTCTTTCTGAGGTGGATCAGAGATAATAGAACATAACACCTCACATAAAAACATGTCAGCAATACATACGTGCAAGAGAAAATGACTTTTATTACTTGTAATGTCCTATCTCTGCAGCGGTAGAGTGAATGGAACAATTCGTTTTTTGTATTGCTATCTTGGAAACTTGCCTTGACACTTGAGTGTATAAATGACATGTGACTGGAAGAAAACTAGTTAAAACTATACCTTTAATCATCTTGCACTTAGAGTGGTACTTCAAGCAAACAAATTACGGGACCTCAAGATTGATAAAATCAATGAAGGAGAAGTATTTATATATATAAGTACACATATACACGTGTATATGCTTTGATATACTGTATATACACATGTGTATGTGTGAGGGGGAATATATATATATATATAACCGATATCACATGGGAAGCAAACATTTCATTCTCAAAATACAGACTGTGAAATGAATTCTATACAGAAAAAGACTGGGCTGCATATTAAAACCACTCTCCAATGAGATGCTTTTGGTTTCCTTCTACACAGACTGCCTGTTCTCATTGAGTGGTTAAAGGAATTTCTTTTCATGTTCTCATTATTTTCTTGTGTTTATTCTTGATTTATGTTTATTTTTCTTAGTCTCTGCTTTTGTTCAGGCCGCATGGTGGATAACTTTTATTTAAAGATATGTGTTTTCAGAGTAAAATACAAAAAAATGCAATAAAAATATATAATATAGATGCATCAAAAAGGTCATTTAATGTTTAAGGACAAGTGTTTTAATCTGTAAGCAACAAGGTGGGAATTTATTGTTATTTTGTTCATGATGTGATGAAGTACATAGTAAAATGTTGCTATATTTTAACTGTATATTCATCCTTTATTTTCACAAGCAATGTTATAATCTGCATTTATCTAGTTTTATATTGAAAGGAAAGCTATCTACAGGCTTTGCATGGCAGGTGAGCACAGCTGCAATTGGCAATGCCCAAATGTTAATGGTAATGTATAAATTTGGAGAAATGTCAAGAAAGCCTCTGAGTCGCCAGCATCAGGATTGCTAAACTGTGCAGGGAAAACACTGGAGAAGTGAGGTGTCGCTCCTTTGCTGTGTCCAGCATAGCAATCCTGCCACTGGCTGTTCTCACCAGTTAAAGGGTCACTAGTGTTAAAGGGGCCTGATTTTGATGTTTCTTACAAGACAATTACACAATTGTCAATAAATTGACGATACAAATACATTTTGTTGTGCAAAAAATCCCCATGGTGGGTATATGTGTACCACAATATTAATTTACTATACAGAGTATCTCAAAATGAAGTACATGAATATTTTGGTAAATGGAAAAAGTGGAAACCTCCTTTTCAGATCTGATGCTTGTCCGTAGTTACTTGTAGTAAACTCTCCAAATCCATTATAGTCACACTAGATGTTAGTTACATATTTTCATTTATACAGGGCCAATAATGTTTTGATGCCTTGCATAGTACATAGAACCATTCACATCACTCTTAGCCCATGATGAAGCTTTCAGTTTAATATTCTAACCATACTCAACAGGTACATAAATTAGGTTCAGTTTTCAAAGAAATCTATGCAGAGAGAAATTCAGAGGCTGTCTTTGCTGTCCTTCTGAAATTGGTAATCATCAACTGACAGTCACCTAATGGCTGCAATGCTTCTGAATCAGTGATTCAGAACAAGTATGCAGATTAAAAGTTGTGGCATCCCTTGCTGCAAGCTTGTTATAGGTCAGTAAAATGTTGTTGCCTACATAATTCCCCCAGTATGTTTTTTTTTTTACTGTTTTTGAATTCTGTGAGGAAAATTAAAGGAGAATTATTATGTGAGTCGACCTGTGACAGTGAAACACAGGTTGGCTCAGTAGATCGGGAAGTGAGCGAACACATAGCGGTGCTCGCTCAATTCTTGATCTATCCCTGCAGAGAGCCGTGACAGGGAAGGGACTGGATTCCCCTCTCCCCTGTCCGATCCTCTAGCGCCGACTGGCGGAATGGTTGGCAGAGGGGGCAGGCACAGCTGGCTCTGCTTCTAGATAGGCAGAGCCAGCTGTCACTTACGCAGCTGGGTGGATCCAGACATAATTGTCGAGATCTGTTCTGGCTGCGGCGACTCAGTATACCACAGGTTGTAGCTCACGGTATACTGAGCTTTGGGTGATGGGAGGACGCTAGTTTGTGCCCTCCAGTTACCCTTAGGAGAACTATGGGGAAAAGCCCTAACCCCATAGTTCTCCTTTAAGCCAACACACACAAGCAGATGATTCCAGCCATTCTGTGGGGTTTAAAGATAAGGCTTAGTTAATTTTTCTGGCATGTAGCCCCATGAACATAACTTTCCTCTAGTAAGGTGTGTCCCATGTCCTAGTGCCTGCTGCTTAATATAGTATCCGTCCCACAAGTGCCACCAGATACCTCCTACAGCACTGTTTTTTCAGTGATGTGGGGGTTAACAACAGTCACTGCCAGTGTGAAAGAGTCTGCACACGTTCACGTCTGTATACGGCCGCTTATCCGCTCCTCCCTCCTTTTTCCTTCATTCATAGTCGTTGTACAGTCTTTCCCACGATGCAAAGCGATCTATGATTGGAGGATAAACAGATGAATAACAGGACCCGCCTCCCCCAATCATCAGTCATTGTGCATTGTGGGAAATAATAGTACAACGTCTATAAATGCAGTAATAGGAGGAAGGGGCAGGTGAGTGCTTCAACCTTTGCATACCTTTCATACAGCAATGTTAGCATTGTAAGTTTAGAGCTGTAGGGAGTATCAGGCAGCGCTCAACACACCTCTATGGTGGTAAGTTATGTTGCTGGGGCTGCATAATAAAAATAAAAATTCAGCTTTAGGAACCCTGAAGAACCTATGACCCAAACTGAACTAAAACCTTCAATGCTGCAAGGCCACATTGTCATACAATACACTTTGGTTTATAATGTAAATATAAAACCGAAGAACCAAAATGTAATATATTACAGCTTAACCGCTTTTAGATTTGGTGGAAGCATTCCTTTTCTTTTTTCAGTTTTTTTACTATTTAACCTGGTGATCCTGCAATCCTACAAAGAGACCTTTTCTGGCAAGATCAATGGGCATTTTATTTGCACTTATCGAATAGAAATAACAAAACAATAGTATGTTTAACAGACCAAAAGGGAAAACAGTAAGATAATGTAATTGGTAGGGTTTACATACACTTAAACTTGGCAGAATGCAGTACAGTATGTGAGATGTAGGTAGCTGAGAATTTTCTAAGCAGGTTTTCATGTCTGTCACAATTAGGGTTATCAAGCGATGAGAGATCAGAGATTAGGGGAGGGTGGAGAGTTGTGTGTAGTCTAAGAGGGTAGAATTTTGGTGTTCAATGGCCATAGTGATGCATAGCCATAGTTAGTGGGTGTACACATATATGATCAACAGTCATGGGGATTAGAGGAGCCTAAAACGTTTTTCAGCCCATTGTAGACCTTCCGAGCAGCAAGGATAGATCGGGCAGTAGGTGGGCCGTAGAGTCGTTAATCAGCTCAATATTGCACCCACCAAAAAGTAGATTAGAGTACTTAAAACAGGCACCTCTTGAACCCTAGGTGCTGGTAAATCACTTGGGGATCTTGGGTAACCTTTTGAAATAAAGAAAACTTGTAGTTCCAGAATAATAGCTTGCTCTGTTAGTATAATGTAAAGTAATTTATTTATTGGAAGGGCAAAGATCAATGTGTTTTTGGGGTTCAGAATCTCCTTCTTCAGGTCTAAAAAAACAGGGAGATTAACATATCAGATAACAGATGTGTATATCAAGATTCTATATTTAAAGCAGAACTAAAAAAAACCCTCACCTTTAATACAGTGCTTTCCCCCGCAGAAGGTTCACTCCATTCTGCTTCCGGTTGAATAATCATCCAACCCACTTTCTGTGGCCCCAGGATGTCATGAACCTCATTGTATGCTCTGGACTGATACTCTCCTTGACTGAGTGGGGCTCACACATTATTATGTGAGCACCTCTCGGTCCAGGAGGAAAAACCACACCCCATTGCCACCAAGGAGGAAGAGGAAGGACCTGTATTTGTATTGTAAGCTGTACTTGTACATTGTTTTTTCACAAAGAAAATCTAAAATATGTTTTGACACAAAATGTGGTCCAGTCAACCTTTTAACACCATAACCATGTGACCAGAGTTTTATAACTAAGGAAAGAAAGGAGGTTGTAAGCATAACCAAAACAGAAAGTCAGTGGTTTGAACTTTATTGTACATACTTTACAAGAATTTGATTGGATAGTTACTAACTTCATCCCAAATTGCCTCATAAACTCGTACCTTACCACTAACACGGTTTTGTGTAGTTTTGTTCTAAGAAAAGCCAAGGCAAGGCACTCCCATGGTCAGACTATTTGTCTTCTACATATTCTGTACTAAGAATCTTATAAATTGTTAGATAATGGGGCTGATTTACGAAAGTACTATAAGGTATTTACTTAGCAAAGTGAATGAGGTGAAGCTGTGCTGACTTCAATCATTCAATCACGTGCAAGTCAAAAACCTTTTTCTTTTTTCATTTTCCCTTGCACATGATTGGGTATTCTATACAAAGTTAACTTTCACTTAATTTCAACTCCTTTACAAAGCTTAGTAAAACAAATAATTTTACAAAGAGAACATGCTCTACTATTTTAGTAAATCAACCCCTATAGGAGAACATTTCTTTCCTTTTCAGGTTTTGTAAACCTGAATCTCACCATTTGTTTTTCAAAAGATATCAAAGGGCCATGGACAGGATAGCAAGCAACAGTTCAGTAACTGGAATATACCAAGCTGATATTATGTTTCATGGGAAAAGGGAACACATATAAATGCTGGTGTCATGCATAGTAGTGGTATTGTGTTGTCAATCTGCTGACTAGAAGAAAGTTACTAAACGATAGGCAAGTTGGGATGCCATTGAGGGGCCCCTCACAACTGTGCATGACTCTTGGGACCTCAGCTACAGCCTAAACTACACAATTTTAATCTCTTGCTACTATGATAGTTAAGCACTTGTTGACAATCGCCTCATTTCCAGCACGCTGATTCAGATGTGTTGCAGTTGAGGTGACTACTAATCCTCAATATGGAACAAATATATAGTATTTAGGACTTAGTCCAGCCAGGTTTTATGATCTATAGAATATTCTACATTCTCATTGTAATAAATGTCTAGTCTTGGGTACTTTATAAACAAAACCTCTTCAGTAAGTAAGGAGTATGAAACCTCTATTATATCTAGAAGCTGTACATGATTACTATGAACCTGTCATGAATGTGGGACAAATTGGGCTGGCTTGCACACCACGTACATGTCACTGCCTGAACTGCCGGCAGTTCACTGGG